CAAACTCCGTCCGTTCTCACAGAGCATCCATATGCCGAGCATGATAACGTCCCCACAAACTCCGTCCGTTCCCACAGAACATCCATGTGCCAACCATGATAACGTCCAGACAAACTCCGTCCGTTCCCACAGATCATCCATGTGCCACCATGATAACGTCCAGACAAACTCCGTCCGTTCCCACAGAGCATCCGTGTGCCAACCATGATAACGTCCAGACAAACTCCGTCCGTTCCCACAGAGCATCCATGTGCCAACCATGATAACGTCCAGACAAATTCCCTGCGTTCACGCAGAGCTTCCATGGGCCCGCCATGATAACGTCCAGACAAACTCCATCCGTTCCCAGAGAGCATCCATGTGCCAACCATGATAACGTCCAGACACACTCCGTCCGTTCCCACAGAGCATCCATGTGCCAACCATGATAACGTCCAGACGAACTCCATCCGTTCCCACAGAGCATCCATGTGCAAACCATGATAACGTCCAGACAAACATGTGCGAGGGAAAGGCTTCCAGGGTAAACGTCCTTACTGAAACGCCCCGATGTGTCCAAAACCCAAGCCGCAGCGCATTTATAACAGTTTTTTGTAGTTTCCGTGCCTCAGAGTTGTTCACTCCCCGACATTCCAAAGCCTCAAAGTGCTGCATTTACCACGTCATTCAGCTTCACCTGCTACTTTTGCCTTGGAAAGGCGCGCGTGAACAGCACGTTGGAACGTTGTGAGAGAGATCAGAGCTTAGTAAACCTTGGCCGGAATTCCTCGTTCACCATCACCAAGAACACCGGTCATGTTGTGGAACGATTATGAAGATTGTTGCGCAAGGTGGTTGTAAGTTGAAGCCGGAGGTGTTGCTGTGTGCTCGATGAGATTTCGTGGAAGATGCGACAATTCTTTGCCAAAAGTGAGTTCCGAACAGCCAGCACTGCAGCAGCGTCAACGTAGGACGTGCAAAATTCGGCATGCAGCATGCAGCTATCAACCTGAAGCCATCCCCCTGACAAGGGCTCCACGCTGGATGCCGGACGGTCCCAACAGCTAGAAAGGTCATTGCAGGCGAGGCCACATGCACATGTAAGTTTGCCGGAGCTGACAAAGGTTTTTTTGGTTTCAGCATCAATCCTCTTGTAGCTTTTGGAAGCCTGGAATGTTTCGAGAGTCTCGCCGAGAGTCTCGCGGAGAGTCTTCCGGGCCCTTGGCAGACCATAAAGGCTCCAGGCATGGCCGTGCTGAGGCGGAGTTCGTTGAGACCGTGTGTCATGGCAAGGCCCCGAAGATCCAGTGGAGATCTTGTGATGTACTCGCAGTTGTAGCAACGGCGGCAGCATGCCACGCCCGCGGAGTTCAACAATACCGGCCCTTTTGACATGTCCGATGAGCCCAAGTACGGGCGTCATTGCTTGTTACAGTGGCGACATGAAGGCGGCCGTCCTGGAGGACGTCCCTGACTAGCGGCGAAACACGATAGGATGTTGGGACGAATAGGCCCACATACCTTGGGGGGGGGTTGCAAAGCCTCTGCTTGGCCCAGGGTGCGGCAGCCGCTACTCGGCAAGAATGCTGCAACTGCTCTTGGATTCGGCGGCAAGGTTTTCTTCCTGGGACTCAAGTCTTCAGGTCATCTTTCTGCAGGGTTCACAAAGTTCGGCAAACCAAGTCTGCAAGCCAGACGTCATGGCGCCGGTGTACACGGAGCATCGAAGCTCTTCCAGTCTCAGGCTTCGCTCATTGAAGTGACATCAACCAGGACATGGCCTTCAGCCTCGGGTCTCAGGGTCGAGTTTTCTGGGCTCAGGGTCTCAAGTTCAAGGCCGAGTGCTGTCTCCATGTCCGAGTTGCCGAGTTGCTGTGCGCTTGAGCTAGGCGGATTTGCCTTGGGCTCTGATGCCATTTCCAGAACAGGAAACGTGCGCGGCGGCCGGTGGGGCTCAACACAGTCCAGCTGCTGAAGGAGCGGGGGGGAGGGGGGGGCATAAGGGTAGCGTTGGTCAAGTTTGTGAGTTGAGCCGGGCCATGGCATCTTGACTTTGGATATGCGGGTCGGGAAGGCTGGGGAGATGCTGCGAAAAATCAAACCAAATCAAACCATATATCTCGGGTAACCCCCTCCGGAAGGCTTATCTTTGGGCCTCGCCTTTTGACGTGTTGCTTTGCTTCGCTGTTCATGAAACACCAACCCCACCACAATGCAAAAGAAATGTCCATGGCATCCGCATACACAGGCAGCTTCCACTGGGCTTGGCATGTCTCCGGCGCAGAGCCCGGGGCAGCATTGGAGCACTTGAGTTTTCAGGTCCTGAGGATGGCCCAAAGTAGCCGAGGTGCATGAAGGTCGCCGAGGGCCTTTATTCCTCCGGCTACATCTCATATCCACGCACGGACGCTCATCATGACTGATAGCATGTTTCTGTTTTGTTAACTATACTTGCTGCAAATGAGGGCCTTACTTGTGATGGCAGTTCTGAAGGGAATACTTGATTGATAAGACGTGCTCTCGCAGAACCTTGAGAGAAGGTAGTTTCCTGGAAGTTTCTGGTGGGACAATGAGGAAACCACGAAGTACTCAGACACATTCGACCTCGTGGGTGCGCTTCGAGAGCAGGCCAACCACCCGTCGTGGGGACACTTGGCAGAGCGGCTCGATCATGGACCCTCGGGGCCTCGGGTGTCGCTGTTTAGTGGGACTCCGATCTTTCGGCTGATTTTCGTGCTATATTCACCCAGCCGGAACGAGGAGAACTTGTTATCTTGTGCTGCCCGCGCCCCAAGCCTTCCAGCGGGTGGCGACAGCCTTGCACATAGAGAACAGGAAGCTAACTGTATGGGACTGCCCAGGAAAGACAGTGAGCTACCTCCTTCGGCAAGGGTCAATCCGCTCCCCAGTCTCCGGCACAGACAAAGGCGGTTGGGTCGGCAGCCCGTGTTTTGGGTAGGCGTTACGTGCTATGACATTGGATCATGTACATGTGTTCAGTACGCATAGAAGTAGACAAATACATGAATACGTAGATAGTACATACATAACTAGATAGGCAGATCTCGTTTTCTAGCCTTGCCGTTGGCAGGCGACCATCCCCCTATTACACCGATGCGGGCAGCACCAAAGGAGCAGCAAGCATCAAAGTGGAGATTCCAAAAGCTAGTGCCCCCAAGCTGTGCAGACTGTCCGTTGCCAACATGCATGTTTCTGTCGTGCGTGTGAGGCATGGCATGAGAGAGCAGAAGATATGAGACATGCTTTCCCATTGGTGCCGGCCGAAGGACGAGTTCAGCAAAGGCAAGGAGTGGCGCTTGTACGACTACGTCACAAGACATTTCATCGCATCACTGATGGATGATGCCGAGTACGATGAGACTCCTGACAGCCTGATTCATGCATATCCATGCTATCCCAAGCCTAGAGCGTCAAGCCGTGAATCACAGTGACTTGCGCTCCAAGCCCAAGAGCTTAGGCTGGCTTCACGCCCGAATTCCATGCCTCTGCTGTGCTTCTGACGGTGAGAGAACCGAGGATACGCTACATCTTCGACGTGTCTGGTGAACGGTTCGTATTCACTTACCACGAGGTTGGAGCTCCGTAGCCTGCAGGCGCATTCACCATGTCGTGACTTCGATCCAGAGGTGGCAGACCGCGGTTTTCTGTATGCGATGCTGTGGAAGGTGAACGACCTGTGGCCTGTCTCTGTGGAAGCTTCCAGACTATTGCGTGGGTTGTGGCTATTGAAATGGCAGTCTCATGCAGTATCGTGTGGAACTTCTATGGCATTTGACATTTCACGGGTAGCAGAATGTCGTAGTCGAGTCGCGAAGACCATAGTGGCCTCATTTCTGCCCGTGGGAGCAAATCGAAAAGCAGAGGACGCCTGCAGGCAGCATCTCAAATTTTCAGGCTTAGGCGCTTGCAGGAGGCAAACAGCTTAGACCATGGATGAATTCGGCAAGACCATGTTGGGGCTCGTTGTTGCTTAGCTTCGTTGTGACAAGGAAGCTCGAGGAAATTGACTGGCAAATGCCGGTTCCTCGGCCTGGTTCAGCACACCTCATGAAAGTTCTGAAAAATCCAGATCTGCAGGGTCTGCCTGCAGACAAAAAGGGTTTTGGGGTTTGTTGGTGCTTAGAGGCTTAGAGCATCGAGGCTGCAGTTCAACAGAGTCTCCGCAAGTAATGCTTCGCACTCAGGACATGGCAGAAGGGGACCAGCTGTCTGTGGACGAGGTCGCAGTAACTCGTGACACTACGAAGCCTCCCGATTATCTGAGCTTTTGCCGAATGATGGGAGCTGCATGTGGAAAGGTTGCACGGTCTTACGTGTGCTGATTGACAGATAGGTCTAGGTAGATCACATTCCCGGCATTTGAGACACAGGAAGCAACATGCGCAATGTACTACCGGGCTCGAGGCCTTCATCCGTACCTTCTGCAGCAGGGGTTCGCGAAGCCGGCTTAAGCTAGTTAGGAGAGAGAGCGAACTCGTCGCCCTGATGGACAAGAATGGCATCGGCACCGATGCCTCTATTCCGCAGCACATGCAGCCCCTCGACATTGAAGGCCTTCGGAGGCCTGAGAGGTGACGAGCGTGAATGGATAGGAGTGCCGAATTGAATGATGTGGGCATAATCAGAATTCTGTGGATGTTCTTCCTCTGTGCCTTGAGTGGTCTACAGCCCTGCCTACTTCGCGAGTTCATTTCCTCTGTAGACCGTTTGGGAGACAGGGCCAGCAATCTCCTCTCTAAGAAGCCGCTCACCTCGAACGATTCAGGAATGTTGTGGACCGGCACTACGTCATGATCTGTGGCCCTGGGGCGGACGGCCAGCGAGGAGAGCTACCAGCTGCAAGGGATTTTGGGAACTGCGTATAGGATGGCTGTGGCTGCCAAGCTGCCATGCCGTCATGCAGCCGCACGGTCTCGAGCACAGAGGAACTGCAACAGAAAAACGACACTATGTTTACTATGTTCAGTCGAAAACGTTCTTTGACATCTTTCGGAGTCCACAGGGCTCCGAAACCGGCAGCCCTGCAACGTCTGCGATCATGAAATCGGGCGAGCCAATCATTGAGCCTACCCAGCGATCCTTTGGTAAAATCGTCCTTTTGGTTTTCCTCCGGATCATCGTCCCTGGTGTTGTTCTCCTCCGACTTTTCCTCTTGATTATCCTCCAGGTCAGCCCTTGAATTGACCCAGTTTAGCAATAACAATTACCTCAATTTTCCTCCCCCGGACGATCGGGAGGATGATCGGGAGGTAAATGCAGATCACCGAGGGTGATGAGGAGGATGATCGAGAGGATGATGAACAGGATAGTTTTTTGGAGAAAATATCCGTTTTCATGAATATCATTGTTTGGCTGCGAAGCCGTTCTTGCGAGGCGAAGTCATCTCCAAAGGGGGCAAAGGGAAAGGCCGGAAAGGTGCCCCTGTCTGCATGTAAGATCATGCCAGGGCGCAGAGGCGTAGGGCTCAGGGCATCAAGGCCTCCGCAACGCCAATGAAACTACAGTTCTTTGCGACTTTCAGTCTATTGCAATCGTCAATGCAGCACGAGCCATGTAGACAAAATCATGTTCTTCTGCCTCAAGTCTCAATGGCTTTGATCGAAACCGGTTGACGAGCCCAAGACGCCGAGTTTCGAAGCTCTGGATCAAGCGCCTGATATCAATCCTGCACATGCCGAGTCTCGCCTGAGGCAAAGGGAAAGGTGCTAAAGGTGAAGATGGACGGCCTGCCTCGAGGCACGCTTGGACCAAAACGAGTTAAAAGTTCAGGGCTCATCGCTACCCCAGAATTGTGTGGGAATATTGGCAGGTGCGAGAGCTGATTTGGACGCTGGTCTGATTAGTTTATCAGTTCGAGGTGCCGGCGTCAGATGGAGTGGGTTCTGCGTTCCTTTAGGAGTCCAGCAGATCGGGCGGTAAGCTAGTTCTGCCGAGATCCCCATCCCACGCGACCCGTTTCACGAACTCTGTCAGTCTCCCATGAATGGCAAGAGGCACATGGTGCCCACACCAATGGGGCTGAGCTTACTGGCCGCCTTCGAAGAACTGGATGCGCAGCGCTGTGCTCGCAAGAGCAGGGTTGAGGGCTGGCTGGAGCAGGATAAACCTAGGGATGGGCTTGGCATGAAGAACATGAGGAATCGGGGCTTCGGTCTGGGGCCTTGAAGATTTCAAGCCTTTCTTTGGACGTTTCGGGAGGAGGCGCAAATTTGGGTTTGAGGTGACGCGCTGTTAAGTAGGCTGGCGCGCGTTTGTTGACCAAGGCTTTGCCGCCCTCCTATCAGGGCCTTCATGGAAAAGCAGGCTTCGGCACAGGGAGGGTTTGACGAAGCAGCGCAGTAGCTGCGTAGGACCCTTGAATTCGATGGGCTAACTGATGTGTGATGCCTTACCCGAATCGTTCATAGTCATTTTGTGCCTGGTGCGTTCAGTGATCTGAGAAGTTTCTTTGGATCAGGTGGCTCAGATTGCGGAAGGCTTGCTGGACAAGCCGGACGTCACAGCACAGAACTTGGACCTGCCACCCGCCTGGAACAAACACGTAAAATGCGAAATATTGAGAAATGCTTTGTTGTTGAATGAAGTAAGCAGCCCCCTTGCCAAGACGTGCACGTCTTTGCAGGTTCCACTCCAAGTTCTTGAAGTTCCGAGACTCATGGCAGCAAAGACGGCAGCATCGTGGTATGCAGTGGGTCGAGCTTCCCGTGCTCGTCGGGCTCACTGTTGAGACTTCATTCATTATGCATTCCTTCGATGGCACCCATTATCTCCTTGGTCGCTCAAGGACAACATCAGTTCCCTGGACCGCTTTTTCATGCGGAAAGACCAGATGGCGCAGTCTTGGTCAGGCAGTCACGGTTGCGGTCTCCGTTTGCAGCCCTTTAGTAAGTTGATTTTAGACCCTGTGTCCTTGCTCTTCGGAGTTTGCAGCTGCTGCTCCCTGAAACTGTCAAGGTGCTCCCAGCCTCACGGCAATTCCCCGCTAATTTCGTATTTCTGTTCACCTACCACACAGAGGATGACAGGGACTTGTGGTAACAATCGGTGCCACATACTCCCCCGCTGACAGGAGCTGGCCAGAAACGTCAAGGTCTCTAGGCCTGATCAGCAAAGGCTTTTCAACGACAGAAGGCCACCCGATTCTAACTAGCTTGTACTAGCTTTTGATATACCCACGGCCGGTTGAGACTGCTATTTAGGTTCTGCAGGTACCTGCGATTCAGGGGAAACAAGCATAGCGGTTATGATGGCATCGGTGCAGCCGCGGCAACTGTGTTTCAGGAGAAAGCTGGGGTGGCGAAAACAAGTGGCACAAGTGGGATGGACAAGGCGGGTCCCTGATACCTAGGACTCACAGCATTTTGCAGGAAGCATTGCCCGGAGCATTTCTGCAGTCATCGCACGCCTCAAGTCTAAGTTGTTTGTTCCTGCCGTTGATTCGACAGGAAAGGGTCAGAACAAGGGTGTCAAGCGCAAGGGCGGCAAGAAGTAGCTGTCTCTGCATCGGCAGACCGCTGAGACCACGGAGGAGACGCATCCTGCAGTTTGAGCACCGAATCAGGGCCCTTGGTGTCTGGAACCTGTGCGGTTTGGCATGACAAGTCAGGACAGCGAGCAGCTGCACCGAATCGCGGACCTGACGTCCAATCGTGAGAACTTGAGGTGGTGCATGCAGGACCTCTGGATAGTCTCTCGCCCCCGTCCATAGGCTTCTCGCAAGCTTCAGGCCTTTGCAGTGGCGAAGGTTGGAGCACAACCATGCACATGCAGTCAAGATCATGCAGGGCTGACGCACGCTGCCAAAGAATTCAGCAGCTTGAGCGCCCCCTGCTACCTGGGCATCACATTGCCCTGCGAACTTTCAAGTCCAGAGCTGGAGCTTGCTGGCATATACTGCCATCTGATTGTGCCTCTGTACGCCAGAAACGGATCTTACTTCCATCTGACTGTGGCTCATGTACACAGTATAATGGCCTCAGTCCGACTGTTTCCCACTCCGCCTGAGGTAGCATGTCCATTGCCCCGACGGCGGTGAAGCGCAAGGCGAAGTGAATGAGGGCAATCATAGCGAGATGCGTTTGGGTGAAAACATACTCACAGCTGTCAGTGTTGTCGCAAGCACCAGCGTGGCGGAACATGGCCGCACCCACAAAACCCCTGTGCAAAAACACATGGTTCGGACCTGAGATAGTCTTAACCATTCCGGCGCTTATCACAGGACCAGATGAAGCACCGGGTGCCTGCTTGCAACCACATCTTCTGCTCAAGCAACTTTAAGAGGGCGGGGACAAAAAGGTGGCCGGGAAAGCGTTTCTGAAGTTCCACGGGCCCTGAGCAGCCTGGCACAAGGTGAAGCCAGCAATGAGGTCCTCACACGATCGGAAAAGGCAAAGTCTGGAATCCAGCCAGGCGAACAAGCACACGATGTGGTAAACCTTAAGACTCGCGCAACTGCCACGGCTGGTGCACCAGCACCCCATGTCGTACTTTCTTGATGATTGAGCCCTGCCATGCCTGCCATGCCTCCACCTTGATTCAGGCAGTTGTTCGATCGACTCAGTCCGGAAATGTTGAGATGATCCGCAACTGATGCTTCTGTCAGGTGGATACTTGACGGGGCTCGGCCGCTGCTGCTGCTGCTGCTGCTGCTGCTGCTGCTGCTGCTGCTTCGCTGAACACTGTTCTACAGGCAGTTGGAAGATCTGCATAGTGTTGTGGCATCGGGCTAGAGTCTTGCATCCGATCTGCAATGCTTCTGCAAGACATGTACAGCTGCGGAACTGCGATGCCGAGTAAAACAACAGGAGCGTCCATGTATAGACGGGGGAACTGCGCAGCGCCATGAACAGGCAAAGCTAAGGAGAAGGCCGCGGCCACGGCAAGAGCATGGTGCTTGCGAGAGTTTATGCCGTTCGTTGAGGTGGCTGTCGGAATTTTAGCCAATTCCTTGTGCCCGATGCAGCAGAGACCACAAACTAGAATACTCGAATGGCTGCTGCACGTCGAAAGAAAGCTTCGTAGGAAAGCCGGTGCTTATAGACTCTGGCTTTTGTTGAGCTGTAAATGTGTGGTCATTGCATTGGGCAGGAAGCAGTCTATAGCCCGCAATCCCCAGCCATGTGCTGCGGCGTCCGGCCCGATAGGGCCCATGCTGCCCAGCGTGGCTGCCATTCCAAGCTCGAGTGGAGGCCTTCTGCTGCGTGGCCACACTTCAGTGCTTTCGACTACATACAGGGTTGTGGAGTCGACTCGATTTTTTGACCTGGCAAGGTCTGCTTGTTTACGGCCATGTGGGTATTAAGACGGGGTCCGAATTCCGTTTCCTGCGGTCTGCCGACTTATTCGGAGGACCCCCCTGTTCTCTGTTCTAGCAACCGGTCTACCATGATTGGACAAGGTTGGCCTTGCAGCATCTTGCAGCTGTTCCACGAGATAGACCGAACGTAAAAGAAAGGGATGCTATCGTTGTCCCTTGAAGGGGAAGTCTTGAATCCCGAAGCTGGAAGGCGTCCGTTCTTGTTGAATTTCTGAAGAGCTGACCACAAGGAATGCTTCCTTCAGCTGTCCCCCACAGCCACTCCACCGACTCGCCGGCGTGCCTTGGGTCTGACTCACTGTGGCTTAGGCACGACTTGCTTCAAGAGGATGCATGCTCTGCACGTTTTCACGTCAAATGCCATGTAAGCTGAGAGCCGTCGCCAGCTCTGCGCCTTTTGAATTGCTGGCTGGGACTCCAAGATTCCCGCTGCGGGGCATTCGGAAGACACTCCTTCGGTCTGGTGCTTAATGCGAACAGCCCAGGAGTGGCGACTCTTCGTGAATTCTGGCGCTGTGCGAGATATCAGCATAAGAGACTCAGCTTCTGTTTCGACACAAGGGTAGGCGCCGCTTATTTCTCAGCAATCACCTCCCCGTCTAGGGTCTAGGGGTCCCCCTCTGAAGCTGGGAGGACTCACCTTTTTGTTCCATTCGTTGTTTGGACCGTGAGACGTTCTTGATTCCATGGTACTTCAACCCAAGGTGCCCCAACGCCTTACGCCGCCGTGCTCGCAGCGGTTTCAACCGGGGCAGAAAGGCTGCCTTCGGCTCTGTCTGGGCCTTGGCCCGGCAGGAGGGTTCGTCATCCTTTGTCGTCCCTGCTGCTTCGTCTTCGTTTCCATGTCAGACCCGAGGCTCCGCAGAGAGTTCGCAACCATCGGCCTCAGTGGTGCGATGGTAAAGTGCCCCCGACATGAATGGAGCTTACTGTAGATTGTTGGCGGAAGTCTACATCCCTTCTCCCCACGCACTAGATCACTAGGCACTCTTGGACATGTGGAGCCTGAAAAAAAGCAGTGATTGCCAGCTTTGTTGGCTCTGTGAGGTACACGGAGGCTGCGACAGAAGTGCTTTTCCCTGGCATCGGTGTTCTCGATGACGACAAGAAGATTGAGGTCGGCAAGCTGGAGTCGAAGTCTTCGTGGATCACCTGCCTGCCTGCCATGCCCGCCTGCCCATCTAAGAACCTAAGTTCCCATGCGCCTCCTTCGTTACCCTACAGGTCGACCGGCCAGGGCACCTACCTAGTCACCTGCCCCCAAAAAACAAGTTGCCACGGAAAGAAACAGTGAGTAACCCAGTAAATGAAATGCCTTAGAGAAGCGCAGGCACGTAAAAATGGGCTTGAACACACGGGCACTGCGCAAGTCTAGAGCAGTTGAATTACACGGCTTGAACCCCTCCTGCAGTCCCTGCTTGGCCACACCCTGCCGGAGTGCAGGAAGATGAGGTGGTCTCTGCATTCCGACCGCTACCACTTCGCCTACGACTATTACTACACTAACAACAACAACAATTACAACAATTACTACTACTACTACTACTACTACTACTACTCCTGCCGCTGCTGCTGCCGCAGATGTTCCTGCTCCATGGATGCGATGTCAGACCGGCTTAGACGTCGCAGCACAAGGTGGAGTAGAATCCAGGCCATGCCCCTGGCGAGGTCCGCCGCTACCGGATCTTCAGCCGATTTTGCCAGAATGCCGGGATGCTGAAGCTGGAGGACCTGGAAGCTGCCTCAGTCGCTTTGACGATTCGAGCTCGGGTGCTTGGGGAACGCGCCATCTCGAGGCATGCCTACGTAGCTGTTTGCTGTGGCAGAGTCTTCCATGCTCCGCACGAAATCGTAGTCGGGGGTGGCGGGGTAAAGAAGCCTTGTTAACGCACTTGATTCTGTGCCGGATCCGAGGCAGATTCGAGCGAGATTCATCTCCAGGCCAAAAGATTCGCAAGACTTGACAGAGACTTCTTTCTACGTGGGGAGGCATACGAGTTTGTACACTTCTCGCTGCACACTTGCCAGGGTTCTGCTTTGAGCGCTTCGTGGTAGGGCTGACCCTCTGAGTGTGTGCGATAGGCTGTGGCACTGCGTCGTTGGCCCTCTCTGCCGGATCTGGCCGTACCTTTCGTCGTCCCGGGACACCTCTTCGTTCAGGCCCAGTGCGGATTTGCGGCAGCTGCGTCATTTTCTGAGTTTGCTATGCTGTGGCAGAGGCCATCTACACCGTCCAAGCGCTCGGGCTGCTCTGCTGTCATCGCACGTCAATCAAGCAACGGCTTTCCTCACCGAGACTTGCAGAACTCCAGAAGTTCGGCTCTAGAAAAGCACTCAAAGGTCGCAGATAAGATCGATCCAGCAAAGCTCAGCAAGTGCTTGCACCTGCTCGGTATAGAGTTTGGAAGTGGGTGAACATGAACGGCTTCAGACCAGGCGTGCACCCAACAAGCCTGCTTCAAAGAAAGCGGATGTCATGTCATGTTGGAAACGCTTAGGCTGGTTGACGATTGGTTGGAAACCATCGGTTGCATCATGTTCGTAAGTATTGCCGAGCTCATTCCACTTCCCATGACGGCCGCGAGTTGTCTTCAGGAAAGCTGTCGCTCTGACCAGGGTGTTCGGCAATGTACCAGACAAATGTTGTGGTGCACCATGCTGCTTCCTGTTCTGCAGGAGGACTCTTTAATTTGGGGTGTTGGTCTTCTCTTCATTTTCTGTCTGGCAGTACTCAGAACAGAACCGAGTGCGGCTGCCACTGCGGAAGCTACTGCGGAAGCTCCGAGGTCTTGGAACATCGCCGCCTTTGCAGCGCGCCTGGGCGGCCGGCGCCTTCGCCTCATCCCCGAGGTGCTTCGGGGCGTTGTTGCACGCATTCAGGCGGCCTCAGATTGAAAGCAAGGCCTTCGCAACGCGGATCTTTGGAGTGTGGGGGTTTGCTGCACTTCCTGGATGTCTAGGATGTGTGTTGGTTCAGGGTCCACTGAGGCTTAACAGCGTAGCATGCAGCAGCATGCGTAAACACAAGTACACATTGCAGTGCAGATGTGTGGTGTGCGGTGCATATCTGTTATGTTTGATTCTTCTGTAGACCTTGGTTGCGAAGGGAAGACCAGATGCGGCACTCGCGAATTGAACCCAATATCATCCAATAACAACAAGACAATCCATGTTGTTCGGGATGCTACAACTTCACAGTGCCGAATGATTGGTCGCAGATAGTCAGATGTTAACCAGAACAGGTCTGCACTCAAATGTGACATAGCGCAACAGCGCAGAATGGTACTTGGAAGCACTTAGCATAACGGCATAACACGCAGCCACAAGCAAGTGTGTGTGTGTGTGTGTGCGCGTACGTCCATGCGCACGAGCGCAGGGACAAGCGTATGTTTGTGTGTGTGCGCGTGCATGCGTTTTTTTTGTGTATGTGTGTGTATGTATGTCATGTATGTATGTATGTATGTATGTATGTATGTATGTATGTAATTATGTATGTATGTATGTATGTATGTATGTATGTATGAAAAAATGTATGGATGCATGTTCACATTCCTCATACATCATGCATGCATGCATGCATGCATGCATGCATGTCCGCATGTAAGTAAGTAATTACGCATGTACGTACGGTCGTACAGTAAGTAATTAAGTACGTACGTATGTAGGTACGTACGTGTGTATGTATGTATGTATGTATGTATGTATGTATGTTTAGCCAGGGCCGACGGCTGTCATCTTATGTCCTGGTTCCCTCCGAAACCTCGCCTGACCTGTCGAGCGCGAGTGCTAAAAATGTATGTATGTATGTATGTACGTATGTATGTATGTAACAATGTAGGTTTGTTTGTTTGTTTGTTTGTCTGTTTGTTGGTTTGGATTGGTTTGGTTTGGTTTCGTTTGGTTTGGTTGTTTGTGCGTTTGCTTTCTTTGTTTGTATGTGTATATATATATATATGTGTTTCTGCTTGCCTGCTTGTCTGCATTGTCTGCTTGTTTGCTTGTCTGTTTGTCTGTGGGTTGGTTTGTGTGACGTTCCTGCATGGTAGCGGGCCGTCTTTGCATTGATGTGCCTGGCCTTCCAAGGTCGGAACAACAGATACGAGGCTGATCTACGAGGACATGTGCTGCGCGGGGGAGGGCTGGTTCATGAACATTCATTTCTCATCATCATTTCTCATGCGGAGGCTAAGGTTTGCGGATGGCATCTGTGTCGGGAAGGCAGGTTGCATGAAATGCTGGTGCAGCCGAATCCTGGCAGGAGTCTTCGTGGCGCCAACGCCTCCTTCGTGATGGGTGGCGGGCCGTGACAGGTAGAAGGATTTTGGAGGTTGGGGTCTGTCTGGCTCATGTGATCCAATGTAGCAGGGGCAGAGTTGATGAAGCACACAGGCCGCATGTACGGCCTCAACATGCCTCCTTGTGTGACCCTCGACAGCGACAGCGACTCGCAAAAGATTCGTGCGCGATTCATGTCACACGCACGCCGTGCTTCCCACAAACACTCAGGTCCAACAACACCCTCGGCCGCTGCGGAGCTGCTTTTCTCCTAGGCCGGCCCACGCTGCAGGGAGGCCCAGCGCTTTTACCGGTTTTGGGACATGTAGACCTCAGAAATCTCGCCAACACGGGTTTTGAGGAGTAGCATCTGCTGCAGCTGCGCAGTATGCGCGCTCCGCAGGATTTCTGAATGTTTCACAGGTCCAGGCACCAGGGGCCGACTGTCAGGTGACCGTGGTGGTAGCACAGGCTGTAGTTTGTCGATGCGAGAAACTCGGCCGGAAGCCTCAGGCCGCGAACATCTCTATCGATTTTGTCACTGTCCCCGGACCCATCGCTTGAGAAGCAAGACAATGCTGCTGCAAGGGTTGCTCCTTCTCAAGCTTTTGCCCAACCCATTCGACAATCTTGACCTGGCAGAGCTTGCATGTAGAGCTCGCCGGAAGCCCATGCTAGTCCTACCGATTGCTCCGAGATGGAAGCCCGCACAGCCGTTTTGCTCGCACATGCAATTTGGAAGTGTTCAGGTCCGTTTGGCGGCGCCTGTATCCCGGAGAGGCTGGGGCCCGACACCTCGCTGACAGCAAGAAGACCCAGGGTTTGTCTTCTTGGCCCATTCTAAACAACGCCCAGCCTGCCCCAAAACATGACACTCCCCTGATGAGTTTCAGAATTACGGCTTGGGCTGCTGAAATCCACCATGTTCCGTGCTTGTTCTGACGTTTGGCTGCCTGGCCTAGCTCTTGGTCAGGCTTTGCTTTTGGATTCCCCGGGCCGGCGTACGCTGGTCAGGGTTGAGAACTTGTTGAGTTCTACCCTTTTTCTGCGGATTTCGGGGTTCTGGTATAGATGCTGATGTGAGTTCTACCCCGTCCTGCACTCTGAGATCTCGAGTTTTGCTTGACATTGCCCCTTGGTTCCAGGACTGGGTGTCGTGGTTCGAGGTGTTGAGGGCCAGGGGCAGGATTGGCGAATGCAGAGTAGGCCGGGAACACCGCAGGTCCTGATTGGGCCCTGCGCCGACCGAGAGGCTGCGGAGCAGGTTGCCCTCGAGGCAGCTGGGCGACGTAATCCCCTCCGAGTTCAGAGGTCATTCGGGTTGCTGGCTGTTTCTCTGTTTGCCTGTCTGGCACACTGAAGAATGGGTAGCACTGCTTACCTGTGGAAGAGCGCCCAGAAGTATCGTATGTTTGTCCTTCCACAGGAGAAAGAATATTTCTTTCTCTACTCCGTGACTGAAGACCAAGTCCGGCACCGTCTCTTTGCCGGTCTCCAGGGGAGCTTGTCTCTGTGTCTGTCTGGCGAGTCTAGCGAGCTCGTTGTAGCAAGTGCTTCCTCGAACCCATAGAAGGCATTTTTGAATCAGTTGGTTATCTAAGTCGTGACTTAAGTGCAGAATTTCCGAAAGCAAGTCCTGAGCACCCGGCCACAAAGGCTATACTAGAGACATGCTTAACCAATTACTGACAGGTTTAGAGCTTAGGGCCTAGGGTCGAGGGCCTTATCTGCACATTAGCACGATATTCGGGGGGGTCGTTGCACCAGTCTCCTTCCCCTCTGCATATTATATCCAGGACTAATGTGAAGATGCCTGAACTGACCTCCCCAATACTAAAACGAACACCGGGGAAATAAGGTCTTTCTATTTTGGGGTGGGGGTTATTGATCGGTTCGCCGGCCTTCGGCAGTCAGAAATGCCTATGTCACTGCGTCGTTGGCTTGTAGATCGGAGTTGCCGGTTGACAGCAGGTTCCCGGTGATGCAATGTGCGTGAGTCCTGTTCGTTGTTGAACCCAGTAAAGAGAGAAGTGACATCTTCCAGTGCCAGGCAGGTTTCGCGCACACCCGCTTCTCGTGCTAGCTGCTAGAACTACAGTTCTCACGGCTTGTTGTGCCGAAACCTCCAGCATCCTAAGGATCTGCGAGTGTCGTCCAGGAAAGCAAGCCTGACCGATGTTAGGCAATCTGTTTCCACAGTAATTAATGCCCACAAGAGAGTGGCAGATGGCTGTTGAAAACTCCCAGGTAGGCAGCACCCTGGGCTTCGTCACCTTTCCGCAGGGCTGCTACTTTCTCCTCGAGAAGGCAGGGATATGCTACAGCGAGGCTCCTAGCAAAGCTTGTCCGAACTGTGCGGACCGGACGGGTTGGATCCAAGTCCAGGGAGAGAGCACCGAAACTCCAAGGTGGAGGTTCTTCAATAGTTAAAGGACCCTAGACCCTTAAAGCCCTAAAGCCCTAAATGGTAAGAGCGAAACTTCCGGGCCAGGAGGCTTGGATGAGGAAGGTGCCACAAGACTCCAGCGGCCCTGGCCATCCTGTGCACCTGAACCACAAAGCCGTGGTCACCGGGTTAGCCTAGGGCCTGGATCAAGACACTTCGAACCCCAGTCATAATTATGACAACATCAACAGCAACGGTAGTATACGGTAGTGGCCGCAGAAATCTTTCTGTTCTCCGTGCTGTTCTTATTCTCCTCCTCTTGTCAACCTCAGATTTTCAAGCTGGTTACACACAGACCTCAAGCCCACACCCTTTTCCCCGAGCGAAGCCGAAAGTCCAAAGGCTCGGGATCGACTCTCGCTGCAGACCTTCCCGGCAAAGAAGTGGGAGAACACCAGAGAGGCCGACGCTGAGGGTGGGACCCAGGGCCGCTACGAAGCGATTTAGGCCTTCGAGGCCTTCGAAAATTTAGTTTGTGGATTTTCAGATTTAGTCTTTAACGTTTTGGTTTCATCCCCCTAGCGAGGCTTTGAGGACTGGCTGCCGTTTGGGGCTTTTCTGTGCAAAGAAGCAAGGGCTGTGAACTCCATGCCGTCAGTGGCATTCTCGATTGAATCGGTTGGGATAGCCCCAATTACAGCGAAGCTTCGCATTCTCACATGACACCCGCCAGCTGGCGCAAGTTCGCGCTCAACCTGACCGTTAAGCGTCTATTCCCGAAGCTCAACAGATCCCGACACCCCAGCTTAAGGAAATCTCTGTCGCCTTGGAGGCCGGTGTGGTTTTGCCGAGGTTGAAGGCTCTGGGCCCTTCGCCCTTGGGCATCCGCCTGGGAAACGCTTTGCGGCCTGGATTGTAGGAGCTTGTAGAGGTTGTGCTTTGGCATTTCACCACTTGCGGACGGCAGGTTCTTGAAAGGGACGTCTGCGGGATGTGAATCTTCAGATTTCGAAAGGCTCTGAAAGTTGATTGAGAGAGCCCTTCCCGAAGCCTACGCTAGCTTCGCGATTAACGTTGGGCAATACTGGCATTGCCAAAGCTGGCTCACAACTCGATGCCGATTAAAAGGTGGAGCTAGAACAAGCTGGAGAGACGACCACCGATCCTGCCGGTAAAGCACTACAGAGTCTCCGTGTCTATGTCGAAAAGGCTGTCAGAGCTGTCACATCAGAGGTTTCTGATGGCTGCTGCGCTGGCTATGGCTGCAGACTTTGGTTTCAGCTTCCGAATGGAAACCAGCGCCTTGTTGTGAGGAGCGGAGCCCGAGGCTGGGAACCAAGGGTTCCAGGAGCCAGGGAGGAAAATCGAAGCCGGAAGAAGAGGGCACGCAATCCGATTAATGAATCGCCCAGGTATGCATTGGTTTCCCTATGCAGAGGCCGGTGGGATCTTCGCGCTGCTGCCCTGCGTACATTGGTATATGCCTCCTGTCTGCAAGTATGCTGCATTAATGCAGTGATCTCATTTTGCAATTCCTGCTCGAGCGCACGCAACTATGAGAATGCACTTGCAACAAGCTATTAGAGGTCCTCGAACACATCCGAGGTACCAGAACCTGGAGCCTTTAGCGATGTTAGTGTAGTGACAGCAGCGTTCTGGTTGAATGCATCATGAGGCCTGCTCGAGACCGTCCCATGATCGGCAGCCCTAGCCACGGGGGTTTCGAGGCGCAAAGATGAGGGGAAGTGATTCCTAGCATGATCCAGGGTTTGAGATGAGTCAAACAAGCAGGACTGGCATGAAGTGAAACCGAATCGAAAGAGCTTCTATCTATTTTTTTTTTTTTTGGGGGG